GGTTTTTTTCGAAAAAACTAAGGTTACCTGTTTGGCACTCCCTTAATGCGGTCATAGTGGTTTCGTCTATTTGATATGTTGGGGTCCCACTATTTTTGGAAACGAATACATGAACCTACATATTTCTTGACATCTTTCTATACGCAAGCAACCCAGGACCGTATTATTGGTAATTCTTTAAGCCCCTGCTCTACCATTTGGCTGGCTGAATGCTGCCACTGGCACAAAAAGCGCAGCAGCGCTAAGGGCCAGAACCCACACGATGCTCCCTTGCAAGCGGCGTGCCTGGGGCGAGTGCAGAGTTTCGTCCGAGATTGTTCCATTCTGGTAAACTTGGGGGAAATAAGAGAACAGTGGAGAACGAAATGGAAACTCACATTGGGATAAGATCAGGACGGGGACTCTATGTGGCAGCCGAGCTTCCTATACGCCATAGTTGTACACAGGCTATCAGCAAATTTCGGTGAGCATTCAAGCCTCTGCGATGCAACAGTTGGTAGCGGACATCCTACATGACCTAACATTACCCGTCCATGAATCCCATCATTGAGGGTATTCAAGAATATACGCTTGTTGTAGAATCAACAGTATGGGGGTATCTGGATGCATTGCACACTTGTTTCGAGTTCTGGGGTGGAAGCCGCAGTACGTGTGCTGTTCGCCTTTCTTACAAAGCCGCTACGGGTGGTATATGGAGAGTAATAGCGGTCTAAACAATCACCCATATCATTTGAGGCCTATGTAACTATTTGAGGTACTTAATACCAGAATTGTACAAGGAATCTGGGACCGTAATCGTAGTCTCTCATGGCCCCTAGATTATGCTGGCTTAGGGCAAGCAAGAAACAATGAACACGCGTGGGCATTTTCCAAGCAATCCCTTCATAGTCCCTGACAAGGACCGCGTAGCCCCCTGATAATCCCTGCATATCCCAGGGCTCTGAACTCCTTGTTGAGAAGTACCACTGCTGATTGAAGGATTTATTGCCGGAGCATACTTAATCAAGCTCATCATTCCTTCGTTTTGTGCTTAGGTTCCGTGTTTCCTAGAAGTTGCATGGGCTAGATTCAAACTGACTTTGCAGGTGTTATGGTTCAGAAGACTTTGGTATCCTAGTTTTCCAACACAGCATCAGTTTCGGCCTAAACTTGCAAGATTTCTTGCCAAAAATACACAACTATGCTGCTTCATAACGACACTCCACAAGACCGAAAGCCAACCTTTCTGGCAACTCCCACATGGATTTGAAGGGGATGCAACGTGTTTTTCGGAAACTCCAAATCGATCTGTAAGAGATTCGCTGCAAGATCTCAATTCCCAATCCCTACGTCCTCCAAACTTCTAAACCGTAAACCAACACGGAGCCCCCAGACGCGCCATATGTGGATTGTGACTCTAATGGAAAGCACTTCCTACAGATTGCCATAGGGATGGTTGATCAAAATCACCCTTCTTGGGCCCCTGTCATAATCATGTATAGAGGACGAGACAGGCACCATTATTTCGGGAGCTCTCCATGTAGCTTCCTATATAGCGTCTTGCTAGTCCTTATATCTATGAAGATGATTTTGTTAACCACATCTCCCAAAACAAGATCCGTATGAAAGGCACATGATAGTCATAGCCCGCATATTTTGTGGGATGGGTAACCGAAATCCTTTCATCAATAAAGCACACCCATCCTTCAATTATGGTCCATTCAGCGCCGAGAGAGCCCAATACCCTGTGATTGAGGCAGATATACTTACCAATAATGGAAAATCAAATGGACAAGAAACTTGAACATGACATAGAGGTTTGTTTCCTACAGGGGCTTATACACATAGAACGCCGTTTTTGAAAACATATTAGGGAATCTCATATGCACCATAAGGGGGCTATATTGCGGATTCTATAGCGGCTATTATTATGAACGATTATGAGGGTTATGAAGGGGGATGTGAGGAGTTTAGAAAATCGCTCATGTCATATCCGGGATCTTCACTTATCAGATCATACCAGGCTTCCTGGGAAGCCTAAACCCTCAATAATCTTAACGTGTAGGGTTTAGTTTCTGGGGTTAGGGTCTTAGTGGTTCAGGTTTAGGGCTGAAGCAGCTTTCATATCCCTCTCCATTCTTAAACCTACTCACCAAGTCCACTTATTTTTAAAAGTTTCTATCTTTTCAATTTTCGTAGCTGGGTCCCGAGTTCCTAACTTAACCCTAAACCGTTGAGGGTTTGGGGGTTTCAGGGCAGGGGTTTCCCAAGGTTGGGGGTACGAATTTGGGTTCCCCTAATGAGGATTGTAGTATATGGGAGTCCATATGAGCTATAGTCTAAACTCATAGTACCCCCCTTTACAATCCCTATAACACTCCCCTACATAACCCCTACATAACTCTCTTGACGGAGTTTAGACTACAGCTCATATTGTAGTATTGGGCCCTACACCCCAAACCCTAAACCCTAAACCCCTAAACCCTAAACCCTAGTTTGGGTTTAGGAGACTTGGCTCTAGGGTTTGGCACCCAGCGACCTCCAGCAGCCATGCGCACAGCAAAGCTCCCGGCAGCCTTCAAGGACACAAAGTGAGCCATTTAGGGTTTGGGATTTAAGGTTTAGGGTTTAGGATTTAGGGTTTACTCTTTAGGGTGTAGGGTTCAGAGTTTAGGGAATATGGCATATTATTGCATATTATTGGGATAATGAAGAAGAAAATGGAAACTACTACCTTATAATAGGAGCCATGGTTTAAACTCCTAGCATCCCCCTTAATAACCCCTACTATAGGCTTTAGGCTTCAGAGTCTAAACTCCTAGCATCCCCCTTAATAAGCCCTACTCTTTCTAAATTTCTGTCATCCCCATTAATAACCTCTACTACACGGTTTAGGGTTTCAGGTCTAAATTCCTAGAATGCCCCTTTATGACCCCTACTATAGGCTTTAGGGTCTGAATTCCTAGCATCCCCCTTGATAAGCCCTACTATAGGGTTTAAGGTTTAGGGTAAACTCTTAGCATCCCCCTTAATAACCTCTATAAGACTCCCACATGTAACCCCCTTGAAGGAGATTAGGCCTTAACTCAGGTGGCACCGTAAGGTTGGGATAAGAAGAGGTTCTGGTAAGCTTTTCAAGGAACGGAAGGAGTTTCTTCTTTAAGTATGCCTATTTGGGGTTAATCAGGCTAATTATTGGGGAGCCTAAGCGGAGTGGCAGTACGGGTGGTGGTTAGGGGAATCTATAGTTAAGCCTGCGCAAAAATTTTATGCTCAAGCTTAAATCAGCTGAGAAGCATTTCGGCCGTCGTGCACCATACATATCGGCGGCCCTCGCGGAAACCCTCGGGCAGGCAAGTCGTGCGGGTATTTCTAAAAATGAGCTACAGCCTAAACTCCTTGTATCCCCCTTGATAGGCCTTATGATACTCCCCTATATAATCCCCTATATAACAGCCTTGAAGAAGTTTAGACTATGGCTCAAATGGGGGGGCCTATTGGACCCTGGGGCTTGTTGTTGGGGTCTTCAGTGCTTGGGATTCTGCCGAGCATTTTGAGGAACTTCCATGTAAGAGAAGATTTATGTTTATGGTGCCAGGGGCTGTCTCCAGGGGCCACCCAAATCCCGAAGCAATCCCTTGGACTCTGACCCAAACACCGCGAAAATCCTTGCCTCACCTGAACTATAGTCTGAGCTCCTAGCTCCCCCTCAATAACCCCTATAGTACTCCCTATGCAACTCCCCTTAAGGAGTTTAGACTATAGCTCACCTGGAAATGGCATGGGGATCATCTTGCGCTCTAGGGCATTTGGGACATGACCTTAATTCCCCCGAATAAACACCCCTGAAATCCCCAACTCCAGGCTCCCAAGCTCAAACCTCAAAGCATGTTAGGGCTGAGGGTCTACGGTCATTACGTAAAAACCTGGAACACCTGAACCCCAAATGACCTTAATGCATCCTATCTGCCCTCTGAAGCCTACCGTAAACATCCCAAAACCCTAAACCCTGAACATCATGTTCAGGCTCTAGGGGTTTAGGGTTTAGGGTTTGGGGTTTAGGGGTTTAAGGGTTCAGGGCGCTAAACACCCCCAGCCCTGCGCCCGTGAAACGACCGGAACAACTGACAGCCTCGGAGAGTAGCTCTGGCTCCCACCACCTCGTTGTCTGGGTTGCTGTTAAGGAACTTAAATTAAGTTACTATATTGGGGAAACCCTATTATTTACTATATACCCATTATGGTAACTTAATTTAAGTTCCGTAACAGCAACCCAGTTGTCTCTTGTGGGTTGGGGTTTAGGGATTTCAGGGTTTTGGGTTTGGGGTTGAAGGAATTCAGAGAGGAGGTAGGGATCTACAGGGTTGTGGAATGTTGTACAGGGATGTATGGAGATTGGAGTTTAGGGGTCCGGGGAGTCCGGGAGTGGGATCTAAGGTTGGAGGATGGGATTGCAGCTGCCCCTGCGAAAGAACATGTGGCCATGATGAGAAATACCCACATCAAGTTGGACTGGGATACAGTGCATAAAGCTCAGGGATACCGGGCGTGGGAAACATAGGGACGACAGGTTCAATATCAGCAAGTAACAGCCCCACCCTGTTCTGGGTGGGACCCCCCCAAACTTGTAGAAAGGAACCACTTCGGGTTTAGGATCTAAACCGTGGGGTACTACAACCCTTTCCACTGGAACCCCGCAAGAAGGACCCCCGAACATTTTTCAATCCCTATAAACCATTACACGATCTCATTTTCCAAGTCATTTTGAATTTCTTGCGCACCTGATTCTCCAGTACAAGGTACTTTAATATTCCTAGACCCTCATCCTTTTCTCCCTGTCTACATCTATTCCTCTGGACAAAACCCTGATCTTAAAAGCCTGAATGCTAGCCCTTAAACAATTCCTAAACCTTCTTCCTTAAACCCTGACCCCTGAACCTTAATCCCAAGTCCATAAGCCCTGATCCGTAAACCGTACAAAAATACAAAAACCGACAGCTTTCCATCCCAGCAGCAGGCACAGCGCTACGATCAGCAACCCCGCGCAAACAGCTCCGAGGTTGCCTTGGATGTGGGTTGAGGGAGGCTTCAAGGTTTAGGGGGGTTTAGGCTTTACGGGATTCAGGGTTTAGGGTGTGGGTCTAGCGTTTAGGGTTTGAGGTTTAGGGGGTTTAGGATTTAGGTAGGGCCCTGGGAGGTTTAGAAAATCCCCTTTGCTTAACCTTAACGCGCCCCCAACTCCCTAAGATTAAGTTTTCTGATTGTGGCAATGTAGTATACGGCGTAGATAAATATGTATATATATATATAATCAAGAAGATATTGGGGACGGGCATTCCCCACCCTGTAATCATGACGTCAAGGGACAGTGGTGATTGTATTGGGCTTCTTTTTTTGTCCGAACTATTATTCCATTAGTACCGGGTGGGGGGGGTTACACCTAATTGCTAATATCTACAAAAAGAAAAGAACAACAAAAGTCATGAGAATCGTAGCAATATTACTGTGGTAATAATGGTTGGAGTAATCATGTTAAATTGAAATAGAAGACATATTTATATTCTACACGGTAATAAGAGAAAAACAATAATAGGAGGAATAGTAATAAGAGTGCTAACTATAAAAATACTCATTACAATCATAGTGCCAACCCTGACAGGGTCCCAGTAATCCCCTACTTTTCCCAATGTAATAGTGGTCTCGACGTAGGGGCTCTATTTCTCCGCATTCACTGTGGGGTTCTAGTTTTTACTGCACGTCGCCCGCCGTCATCCGCGTGCTCTTCCGTCGCGCAAACAATTGGGACACGCCGTTGTGTTCGCTTAAAAATCGCGTTCTCGCTCGAGACATCCTGAAAAAATCGGCGTATTCTATCAATAACCGATCAAACAAATAGGAAACATCGCCTTCAAAGTGCTCTTGGTAGAAGGGTCCGGCGCGAACCGGTCGCGCCTCGATTTTGCAAAATTGCGTTCCCGCGCGCTCAAAATTCCAGATTTTGCGTTTTCAAAAATTGCGCCCCCGCGCGAGACAATTCGATTTTTTTTTACGTTTTGATCATCTTCGTATCTTCAAAAAATCGCGCTCTCGCTCGAGACATCCTGGAAATTTCGTCGATTTATCTTGCATCAAAATCGATCAAAATTGCGCTCCCGTGCGGAGCATTCGGAAGATTTTGACCATTTATGAAAGATGATGTCGAAGGTTTCTATACCAATCCTATACCAAACGAACGTCGTTCGAGGTGGCTTTCTGAGCTCAAAAGGGAGGTATTTGGCAGAGCTTTCCGGTAATTGTAGGATTGGTATAGGATTCTTCGTGCATCGTCGTTCGAAATCTGATCGTTTACGGGATGAATCCTATACCAATTCTATACTAAAATGCTTTGCTCAAGGTCGTCTTGTTTTGAAGAAAATAGCGCTCCCGTGCGAAGCATCCTCGAAATTTTGAAGAAAATTGCACTCCCGTGCGGAGCATCCAAAAAAAATTGACGAAAATCGCGCTCCCGTGCGGAGCATCCTGAAAACCTTGAATGAAATCGCGCTCCCTTGCGGAGCACCTTGAAAATTCAGAAGAAAAATTGCGCTTCCGTGCGGAGCATCCTGAAAATTTCGTAGCATCCAAAAAAAATTGACGAAAATCGCGCTCCCGTGCGGAGCACCTCGAAAATTCAGAAGAAAAAATGCGCTTCCGCGCGGAGCATCCTGAAAATTTCGTCATTCTTTCGTTCACAATCGCGTTTCCGTGCGGAGCATCCTGAAAATTTCATCGTTCTTTCTTTCAAAATCGCGCTCCCGTGCGGAGCATCTTGAAAATGTTGATGAAAATTGTGCTCCCGTGCGGAGCATCCTCCAAATTTTGTCGTTTCTTCATCACAAATTGCGCTCCAGTGCGGGGCATCCTGAAAATTTTGAAGAAAATCGTGCTCCCGTGCGAAGCATTCTGAGAATTTTGACTAAAAACGCGCTCCCGTGCGGAGCATTCTTAAAATTTCGTTGTTTCATCATCAAAAATCGCGCTCCTGTGCGGAGCATCCTCAAAATTTCGTCGTTCTTTCGTTCAAAATCGCGCTCCCGTGCGGAGCATCCTCATCTTTCTTTCTTTCAAAATCGTGCTCCCGTGCGGAGCATCCTGAAAATTTGATGAAAATTGCGCTCCCGTGCGGAGCATCCTCCAAATTTCGTCGTTTCTTCATCACAAATTGCGCTCCAGTGCGGGGCATCCTGAAAATTTTGAAGAAAATTGCGGGGCATTCTGAAAATTTCGTTAAGTGTTCGTGAAAAATTACGCTCCCGCGCGGAGCATCTTCGAAATTCGGTGGGGTTCTCATACATAGATTATATTATTCACATACATACAGACATGCATACATACATACTTACATACACACACACACACGTACATACGTACATACGTACATACATACATACATACATACGTACATACATACGTACATACATACGTACATACATACGTACATACATACGTACATACATCATACACACATACATACATACATACATACATACATACAGACAGACAGACAGAGAGACAGCTAGACAGACATACATACCCAAAACAAACGGTTTCGGGCCTCCTATATTGCGGCCCTTGCATATCTCTACTGGAGATTTACAGGGGGCCCCACATGGGAGGTAACACCCCAAAATTCTGCAACTGCGGCCGTCACTGGACCAAATTTGGTGTGATGCCGCTATTCTGAGGGCTTGTCTGTTGGCCTAAGGTTGGGCATCGGCTTTGGGGTTTCATGTCAAATCACCTCCCCCTCCCAACTCAACATATCAGTACTCCCCTAATATATCATGATATTATATCGGGGGGGTTCTTGTCATTTGGGGGTGAGGGTTCATTAATGGCTTTGCACCCTAAATAACGTAGTATTTTCCATTTTTCTTTCGCCCAAATACCTCGATATATCTACTTTGGGGGAGGGTCTCAGGCCATGGTGGCGAACACCTAAACCCTCAATCTCATCTTAAGCCTGGACCTGGCTAGGTCTGCTACGAAACGCTCATGTCATCTATGATAATCAATATAAGGGGACGTGGGGGTTTCCCAAACTTAGGGGTACCTTTTTGCGGGTCCCGATAATAAAGCTTAGAATATTTTGGAGTCTATTTTGGGCTCCCCCTCATGGTGGGAAACTACGGTATAGGGTGTCTTCCTCCTAAACCCGAAACCAGTTGCACCCCCCCAATGATTAAGCCATTGAAAAATTAACCTTATCCTAGGACAATACCATAGCCTAGACAATACCATAGCGGGGAAGATCTATTCCAAATTTGAAGCTTTGTGGCCTCAAGCATCCTCAAGCCAGGGAAAACTAACACTTTGAAGCCGTAGCCCTCGAACATTTTAGACTTGGTAGTTTCTCAAAATAAGGGACCCCAGCATAGACCCTAGTACACTATAGTCCTCACAGGGGCCCAAAATGGTAACCCTAACTTTGGGAAACCCCTACTTGAACCTCTAAGACCCGCATCCTTCTACTGGTGGGGGGTTGGGGCTGATTCATAATAGGGGGAGGTTTCCAACTACGCAGTGATGTCCAACCCAAAACCCTAAGCCCCAAACCTGAAATCACTAGGGTTTCGGGATTATGGTACTCAAGAGCTCCGAGGCCCTCGCCGCTGAAATGACGAATGAAACCTATACCTGGCCGCTTCTGTGATCCATGTGGGGATTTCTGAGCTCCATTGGCATATAGGCATACGGGGATGACAAGGGGATTATGGTGGATGCCACTAAGATTCTCGAGGAATGGTAGTGTAGGGGCCTCGCAGGAGTACAGGCCAACCCTTTCTTGGGAGGACTAGCATTGAGGGTGTGATACCTGGAGGTAGGAAAGATCCGGTGCTTGAAGCCCTAACTAAGCCCTACTCAGGCATCCATGTATACATATATTATTAATATTTTGTTAAAAAATCACTATAAACATAATATCTTTAAAATAATATCAATGGTATGGCGGGGCCCAGCAAAATATCTTAATCATAATTGTTAATAGAAAATAAAACTAGCATGACAACAATATTTTCAATGGTTTTTTGACAATAGTATCAATCAAGGAGAACCAAATGAAAAAGAACAAGGAACACTACATGGAAACTGGTGTTATGAAGGGGCCATATGGGATCCAAATATACAAATGATACCTACATTGGGCTATGCGAACCCCTAGGGTTTTACTGTTTGGGCACTTGTCAGAGATTGGGCTTGGCCCCGAAGCAGTAGAAGGTTGGAGAATGTATTCAGGGTTTAGGGCGTAGCGATAGTTTTAGGGGTTTATTGGTGCAGGATTTTTGGCTATACGGCAGGTGATCTAAATCTTGAGCCCTAAGCCCTCTATTCTTCTACTTTGAAGCTACCTTGCTAGAGCGCTGACCCTGCAAACGCCAGTAACCTTGAGAGGATTTCATTTACCCCAACCACCCCAAACAAGAATCCATGACTCTCCTGTGAATCTTATAGGGCCCTGATTACAAGGGTTAGGGTTTCCAAAATCAACTAATTGCTGAGAAGGGATTCTGCTTTTCATCGAAAGATCTGCAACAGCCCGTTGCAGAAAACTAGAAGTGCCTTCTGGGCTCGCGCTCTACCTTTCTGCCGAAAGGGGAGTAACTGATCCTGAACATGTACTTAGAGGTGTAAGTTGGAACGCATCTCAGGCCTAGTATACTTAGCAATGTGAGGTCATATGAGGACTTTAGGACACAGGGTTTCCCAAAGAGTGGCCTTCACCCTATAAGCCGTTCGAAATAAGAATTGTTAGTAGTTATTCTCATGACTGCAGCTTGTAGTTGCAACTCCCCAAGAGCTAAACCCCTAAACCCTAAACCCTTAAACCGCGTGTATGTTCAACTCGACTATGGCCTGCTCCCGCCAGGCTGATCGCGAACATGGACTCAAAGATCTGCAAACGGTTTGCGGTGTATGATTTGCATTTCAACGCTGATAGAAGTTGTATTTAGGATGTTATGGTTGGAGGACTTTAGGGAAATTCTGAATGCTTGGGTTACTTTAGGAGCTGGGGAATTTGAGGCTTGCCCGTGAGGACTCAAGGGTTGAAGAAGGTAGGAAGGAGCACCCAAGAACAAAAATACCAATACAACCGGTTGAAGGTTCAGGGTTTAGGTTTTAGGGTTTAAGGTTTATGCCCAGTTTAGGGTTTATGGGTTTACGGCTTAGTAAGCTCAGGGTTCAAGGTCCAGCTTGTTTGTTGGTTGTTGTGATCTCGAACTCCAAGGTTACACATCGGTGACCCAATGTCTCGTGGCTGATACCCTCGAGCCCAACACTAAAGCCTAAAGCCTAAACCCTCAACCCTGAATCTTAAACTTTCACCGCGTAGAGCCCAACCATAAAGCGCCAATGCTTTGCGTAGGCCGTTATGTTCTCAAAAGCAGGCCTAATTCAGTCCCCCCAAGTTACCCCCTTCAGAAATATGGTACCTTTCTTGAAAACCTCGTCAGGGATTAGTCTAATACTAACATACTAGTTCCCATTTTCCATTATCCCTATATATGACCCCAATACATTACAGTAGTTTCCATTTTCTTTTCCTTATCCCTCAGGGATTAAGTCCTAGGATTACTCTCAACCTGATGGATGCTGGCCAACCCAAAAACCCTCAAATGAATCAATTCTGTCTAACTCTCGCAGGAACCCAGAGGGCCCAACACCCCTTTAAAATAAGGAATATACCTTAAATGCTTTTAGGCATCCCTAATATGATTTAGGGCGCATGCCTTATTTAAGGGGTTTTGGGCCTTCTGGGAATACGGACTATCTTTGTGTCCTAATTGCGGAGCCCTATTTAACTATCACCGGACTATCTTTGGAGCGGTGGGGTACTAAAATCCCTAAAGCCTAGGTAAATCCACGCAGATAGAGGCCTTTAGACGTTTCACGGTTTAGGTTGTAAAAAATCCTAGCGGTGGCTTCTCAAAATATGGGGCACTTGGGGACACTAGGGATAAGTAGGGATGCGTTTGGGTTCTACATGGGTGTCAGGAGGGATGAGAACAGGAAATCATTCTCAGATCCACCCGCTCTGCTTGGCTTTACAAAGCACTTTTCGCTCCCAGTTTAAAAGATTGAAATTGGAACTATGGGCCCCTAGCATGGGCCCCCAAACTGACATTGTTGTGCATTTACCTCTACCCGGACCCTTAGCTGTAACACCCTCCAAGCCAAATTGCAGGCCCATACGTAGCACCCAGGGCCAGAAATCAATAGGGCCCACAGCAATGACCCATTCTGCTGAACACGTCATAAGGTGGGCGAAATCCTCAACCCAAAGCATTAAACCCCCAAAAATCTTAGACCTAAGCCCTGAGCCCTGATCCGCTAGCGCTTATAATCCCCATTCCGTAGATCGAATATGGCATTGAGTATATTAGAACAAGATCCCCATATACCCCAATTTTTATCCACTTAACTCCAAGACTCTAAACCCTTAAGCCCTACCATAGGACCTGCATGTTGTGGCACAGGGACACCACCGGCTGGTAGAGGTTGAAGGCTTGGTTGAAAGGCCTACGAGATGCAATCTTTGCTTTGAGAACTTGGCTCTTAGGTTTATATTGGGATAATGGATAATAAAATGGAAAACACTATACTATAATGTGGTATGGACCTTTGTGTTCTATTTGGCGAAGGGTTTCTTTAACCTCAAATATTCTACCAAAAACCCTTATTTGCAGCCGCGCGTCTCATGAAACGCATGGCCAGCAGCAGCTACGTGCAAACGCTTACATACTTACTTGACAATTTAATTTACAAAGTTTCAAGAACGCTTGACAGCCAAAACTTGAACATGTACCATGTCATTTCCATAGCAAGCAATGTATTGTTACATCTTCTGCTTGCTTTCACAAACTCGCATAATAGATTGTCAGTCGTGTTTTTTTGAGATTCCTTAATCCAAACTGCGGCAGATGCAGCTTGCCAGTACGCAACATGCACGTGCAAGATGCGCACAAGCACAAGTGTAAGGTCTGCGCTGGGAAGCGCGGTCAGTCACGGGGTCAGTTTCAGTGTCCTGACAGAAATTGAGAATTCTTAATTAAATTTGTTAAAAACAAATGTTACGGCTTCGGCAGCAGTCGCAGCAGTCACGGGGTCAGTTTCGGTGTCCTGACAGAAATGAGAATTCTTAATTAAAGTTGTTTAAAACAAATGTTAAGGCTTCGGCAGCAGTCGCAGCACGGCCGTACCAGGTGACCTGTAAATGTGCCAGTTACATATTCCTTATTCTTATACAGTACATACATACGTATATATATATATATACGATATCTGGTGAGCCTGCTGCTGGTCTTGCCCTTCGGACCTTAGTCAACGCATTTTTTTAAATTTTTGTGTGTTAATCTTCAAAGTGTTAAATATGAGTTGGAATTAAATGGTGCACGAACACAAGTGTAAGGACTGCACTGGGAGACGCGGTCAGTCACGGGGTCAGTTTCGGTGTCCTGACAGAAATTGAGAATTCTTAATTAAACTTGTTTAAAACAAATGTTAAGGCTTCGGCAGCAGTCGCAGCAGTCACGGGGTCAGTTTCAGTGTCCTGACAGAAATTGAGAATTCTTAATTAAATTTGCTAAAAACAAATGTCAAGGCTTCGGCAGCAGTCGCAGCAGTCACGGGGTCAGTTTCGGTGTCCTGACAGAAATTGAGAATTCTTAATCAAAGTTGTTTAAAACAAATGTTAAGGCTTCGGCAGCAGTCGCAGCACGGCCGTACCAGGTGACCTGTAAATGTGCCAGTTACATATTCCTTATTCTTATACAGTACATACATATATATATATACACGATATCTGGTGAGCCTGCTGCTGGTCTCGCCCTTGGGACCTCAGTCAATGCATTTTTTCCTTGTCAATAATTTTGTGTTCGAAATTAGAATGATCTGTGGCTGCCACGAACTTGCCGCTGCAGGCTTGTACGTTACCCGCGGCTTCCTTAAATGCATCATGCATGCTACGTGCATGCTAAAAAAATGACTTCAATCATAAGATATTTGATCGAGCCGCTTTGCCGATGGAGTTGGCAGGTTCAACTTGAGGAGCTGGCAGTCATTTTAATCACATATTTTCCACTGTTACACAGCTTGCATTGCACACGAAGCTAAGGTGTTTGGCCTTCAGGATCACGTTGGGACGGTCCATCCTCGAGCGTTTTCATTATTTTCTTTTTAACAAAATTTCTTAGCGGGCCTTTCCAGCGTCGTCTCCGGACGAGACTACACAGGGTCGGAAACTTTCGAGCTGCTAACACCGATGGATTGAATACTCAGTTTATTAAATGTTACCTCCTTCTAGCTAGTCAAACAACTGTCTCTGTTAAGAAAACTAATCAAGATTGCTTTTAAAAAAAGTCAACTGTATCTAGCGCGATGCGTTTTCTTATTTCTCTAGGCTTCTATCTGAACCAGATTTGCGTACTGAAGTGTAAGCTATAAGTGCTAGCATTCTCGATACTGTGAATTCCGTTCCAGAACACGGAATCAACGGCAATGCATGCCCGTGATAGTTTCCGGGTAATTTTTCTATCCGCACACTATCCGCGTGTGATTTAAACCAAAAAATCATGCATACTTTCACACCTGTCTACGTTTGGAAATAATAATCTTCTGGAAACTTTGTGAGTTAGTGTGTTGCGGCATTCGAACTATTCAGTGCTTTAATGACAACATCTTTCCTTGGAAATGCGTTCCGCAAGCCTTCCGCGAACACAAGTGCTAGTAAAGAGATCATGTGCGTGCAAAAACAACTTCTAAAAACAGCAACACCCGGATGTGATAAAATTTAGCTGCAAAATAAGAAGCTAATCTACCCAATGAAAACTCTTTTTGCAATTATTTGGAATTAACGTTTCTGTTATAAAGCTGAAACACATCAGCGGCTGTCAATATTCGTTCTTCCAGGAAGCGTGAATGCTGCAAAAATCATGGTGCCGCCTTGTGACGAAAAGAAAAACGAATGTCTGGAATGATGGCTTTGGGAAAAAATAATAGTACTCTATCTTGCACCCTATGCAAAAACCTCACAAGAGACACTCGCGACTTCATTTTGGAACCCGAGTCGTCCAGGAGCTCTATTCGTTCATTCTCCATCTGTTCCGCACAAGGTGTGTAGACTGAGGTGTATCTTCAATGTGTGACCACTCTCGTAATGGGCGGGGGCGGGCTAAGTAGACCGTGTGAGAATGTAGGGTCTAGGATTTCGTTGAAGATAGCCCCCGCCAGCTCTTCCATGCTGGCCATATTTACAGTCAGATGTCTTAGTACTGCTTTTTGTGTCAAGTGGCAAAGTGGTGACCGCAGGCCGTTTCCGTCTATATTTGCTGGCGCGATGCTAGCGCCAACCGAGCGCATATTTTGCCTCATGATTTTAAATTTTTGGCACGCTGCCACTATGCATCTGAAACCAACACTGCAGTGCATTTAGACACGTCAGTAAATTGCCACTCTCTGGGACTAGAAAATGTTCCAGATCGGGTTTGCAGGTGCGGATTTCCTTCTTTCGCCAAGCCATGCCCTCGACACCAGCTACCCTACCCTGCAAGCCGAAAAACAATTTTTTCGCACACAAACGTCCTCAGCTGGTACCATGTCATCTTTGGAAACCGTTACCATATGCCTTGTGACCGAAGGAATACCTAGCGCCACGCTAGCGGTATCCTAGCGCCTACATGGGGCAGAGCCCGAAACCTGCATATACGCTTGGTGCCGCCTTGTAGCAAAGATTAAACCGACAAGAGCAGAGCCTTGTATTGCACGTCTGTCATATTTTACATACATTCAGTTTTGACTGGCAACTTGCGTGAAGGCCTCTTCCGCCATCTTTCAAAGCCTAAATGAACTCATGGTCCATGATTTCTGAAAAGCTGCTGCTTCAGACTCCAGCAACAAGGCACAGCATGACCCTTGGGTGTCACTTCCACATCAGACGCCCAAGTAGAAGCTCATGACATGTGTAAGCTGAACATGCAACTTGTGACAGCACACACACATGTCTGACTGTCTGACACTGCCAAGCAAGAAGCACATGCTGCTCATGGTTTGTATGCTTTCATTGGAGCAGCGCTCCAAGTTTTAGGGGGTCAATGGCGTTATGTTCTGTTGGTACATTAGTTTGCAGCTTCTTTGGGGCACGCACACTTTTTGTTGCTGAAAGGCTTTGTTGTAGTCACTCCTGTTGTCAATAGCAAGAGCTGGTCCCTTCAACTTGTTCCCGACAACACCCAACCTCACTCACCATCTCCTTAAAGACAGTATTTCAACATTCCACCGGCCCAATACAAAAGGGATGGTCCACAGCCCTCTGCAAGCTGTTCATGGTGTTCAACCAGTCCTCAATTAAAAAAAAGAAAAAAAAAAGCTGGCCACAAATGAAGCGCAGAACTTGAGTCTCGGCCTTAGTACGCCTTAGCACCATTCCTCGCCGCAGCGGCGTCTTGTCCTTAGGCTTGGGCGTGTGCTCCCCAAACCTGACATACCACACTGCTTGGTGCACCACACGACCCCCTACTGAAGAAACGGCATTTCCCTTCAGGGCCTCAGCCTTAAGGGCCATGTCCTTAACAGCCGCAACCCATCCCACCAAAGCTTGGGCTTGAATAACGACAGCGATCTTAGCTTGGCCATGCCCCACTAAGTCCCCCTGCGCGGCCAGCTCCTTCCATGACCCCCTTTTCTTTTTCTGGGGAACAAAGTTTCGACGACGCTGCGGTCTCTGTCACGCAGCGTAGAGACATGCCTTCAAGCAGGGCTGTTTGGCTGAGAAGACAACCAAGCGCCGCTCTGCAGGCGCCTTTTGATGGGCAAGCCGCAGTTCAGTGGCAGGAACAAGGCCCTTTTGAATTTTGCGAGCACCACGCAGTCAGAGCAGACGGGCGGCCTTTGCATTGGAGTTAAAGACATTGTTGAGGAACACATCATTGACACTGGCGGGGAAGCAGCTCCTGTCGAGATGCGCAGCCGCAAGATCGCTCTTGCTTGGGGGCAACCCTAGACGGATTATGAAGCGGTTGACGCACGAAAGAGCGGTTATACATTCTTGCGCGCTCTGCAACTGCGCAGGGCATCGCCAGGAGGAATGTCCCTCAGTCGCTGCGGGCATAATCTAAGCGCTGCGAGAGCAGCTGCGTGACAAGGGCAGAGGTTCCAGGAAGCCCGTCATGGACGCTAAAACCCCTTTAACCACAGCACGGCGTCTACTCCTCCCGAAACATGCTTCTGGCATAAACTGCCTTCCACCACTTGTCTGGCAGCACTGGGCGTACTTCAGGCGGAAGCTACTCGCAGCCACGGTGCCTTGCTCGTAGGCAACAAAAATAATTACACGTCACTTCAAAATCACCGTCAATAAAAAGGAACATGCTGCTCGGATACTAGCCTGTCGACCTGCCAGCAACTGGAAAACTCCAACACCAAAAAAATGATCCAACCTCCTGGCCAGCGCTCTCGGCCGGCTTGCTGCCTTCAACGTCCACACAAGGCTGTTGGAGGTCGCAGCCTGCAAAAGCAACAAGCAG